GAGATCCCTGTACTCTTCTTGAGTCGCCTGCCCCTTCTTCCACAAATGGTAAACTCTCCTTTTTTTCCTGAGTCCCAGCCAGGCCGGTCATCTTCCCCACCCGTTCTTACGGCACATGGGGACAGCCTGCTCCTGCGCCTTTAAGACTTCCTTCCTGAAGATCATCCAGCCCTCCTGGACCCCTTTGCCCTTCAGGACCGTCTCCCAAGGGAGTCTCTCAACCAGTGTCCTGAACAGGCCAAAGTCTGCCCTCCGGAAGTCCATGGTTGAGGTTTTGTAACTGTCAATTAGATTAGGCAAGACTTGGCTGGATGAGGTTGCTGGCCTTTTGCCATCCTTTCTGTTCTCTAAATTACACCTGGTGCAATATGAAGTGGGAAAGCGATGGTACTGGGTTATGACAAGTAAATTTTATTTGAAAATATCTCTCATTCCAAAAATGGATTTATTGAAAACCGATGAACTAGAAGAGCCCAGACTCCTCCTGTGGAGACATACATTTGCTATACAGTCAGAGCGGCTCCACTGAGGGGGCTCTCTTGGCTGTCAGTAGCAATCTAAATGGCTCTAAATATAAGTGCTGATGGTAGTACTTCAGGCCTAAGGGAACCACCAAATTTTCAATGGCTTTCCTCAAACTGAACAGCCTGAACAGCAGTTTTGCCTCTGGTTCAGGCAATGTCATACTTGGCAGATTTTTCCCTCAGGTGATGGATCAAGGTGAGCTGATGTGTCATTCTTGGTTTTTTTTTAAAAAGAAAAGGTTTTGGTGCTTAGTGGAATACATGCACATAGACACTGGGTGAGTGTGCTTAGTTTCACACTCAAGTGGTTAAAATGTGAAGGTACACACTACCCCTTCTTTCCCAATGAAGTACAAAAAAATGAACATGAGAGGGAGCCATAGCCTTTCTGAATGTTGGTATTACTGCAACTTGACATATATGGGGTGATCCCAGCAGGAACAGGCCATGGTTTAATTGGGCATTGAGCACAAGTTGAGATTTTCCTTATGGTTTGAAAGGTAGGGTTTTTTTTGGTTTAGACACTGATTTCTGCCATAAAGGTAAACTACAAGCACAAATTTAACTTGTGCCCAATTTTAAAATCACCCCAAGTTCAGTGTCAAGAGGTTAAAACATCTGTTCAGGCAGAATTGCATTCAGACCGTGGGACTGTTTAGATGCTCTAGTTTAGGCCATTTTCCTGCCTCCAGTGTGTTTTGGCACACTGACTTCAGCGCACATATGCTGTACGTAGCTCTGTTGCTGCAAAGAATCCCTGCGTCTTTGTAGCTCTTCTGGCATGCCCTGTTTTTGCATATGCTCTATTCCTGTAAATTGACTTATTAAGCATTTAAACTAGGGATTCTTGAAAATCAATATTCTTTTAAATATAGAGTAGAAAAAATTAACAAACTAAACAAGGAAATATATTAGTCTATATTTTCATTCTTGCTGTGATGGAAGGAAAGTTTAATATGGTTCGCTTCTCTAGAATAATTTATATAAAGCAGTACATTGGTTAGACATGCATCCAGTGGAGGTGAAGGCTGAACATGGCTCTCACAACTGAGGGGACACCTGAGTTGAATACATACAGTAAAGGGAGAAAAAATTCCACATCTGTGGTATTGTGTCCCAAAATTTTGGTAGCTCAGTTGCTGTTTTTCCTCAGTAAGGTGGTGATGACATTTTCTAAAGAAAATCAGCAAGGTTTTATACCTTTATGCTGCAATGTTTCTGGCATATCCAGTAAGACTTCTGTTTTCAGGCCATATATATAACTTGCCTTTACTCTGATCTTTAACTAGGCAGAAATGATACTGCACTGATCATGCTACACTTCCCAGGTGGCTGAAGGTTCTCAGCTAGGTGTCACAAAAATGATAACAAATCAGACACACAGGAAAAGGCATAGAAAAAGGCTAACTCTGATGCAAGGAAAACTTACTTATTGCTTCTCAGAAAAGAAAGTATGTAGAAGAAATGCAGCACACAGGACAGATGATAATCATGAAGCCAGTGTGACTCCTGTGAGAAGAGTGTTCTTCTGTTTTGGTAGCAGTTTAAACCATTCTTTGGAAATATTTTTGCAAAACATACTTTTATTTTGCAAATAGCTGTCTGAATTACAGTCTGCATGCTCTGTAATTTACTGCTCTCTTCCATGGCTTTTCTGGCATCACCAGCTCCTCCCTTTTTCTCCTCCCCTAAAATTTAGGAGCAGAAGAGTGTTTGAAAGTTTTTCAGTCTAGCCTCAATCAGTTACAGAAGCTCTCAAGGAACTGGCTGTATATATCAAGGTACAAGCTATTTCCAGCAATGCAACAAGTCAATATGCCTTCCTACTCAAATCCTGAAAAGGAATTATTTCCTAACAGAGTCTACCTCCATAAAAGAAGCAGAACCGAATCAGGAGTGACACATTTTAACTCTTTAAAAATTAATAATCATAGTTTGCAAAGAGAATACAGACTGTACTTAAAATACTGAATTTCTTCAGAGATTAGACTGGGTAAGACTAAACTGTTCATGTAAAGAATTGTGTATATATGCATAATCTATTCATATTTCTATAATAATTTGCCTTTAATAACTTGTTTCTCTCTGGATAAACTATTGATCATAGTTCTTCAATGCTATATAATTATATAATTTTACTTGCTGCATGATATACTAATTAAGAAATATTTATACAAAAATTATTAATTCAGTTAGAAAAATGGAGGTTTGAGGAACTTGTGTTTGTTTATGTTTATTAAAACTTAAGCTTGTAATGGCATGTTATTTAAGAAGTTTCATGGTTTTCTTACTGAACTGTCATATAACAATAGCAAAAAACTATACATCTAGCATATGCTGCATATGTTTTTGATAAGCAAGATAATATGATGGTAATGAATAGCAATTTCAGCAGCACTGAGAGGAATAATAATGCATTTAACTTTAAAAAAGAAAGATCAAAGAATATGTATATCTTTTGGGGGTTAATTTTCTATGAGAACAGATGTGCTTCTGATGTGCATTTGAGAGTTATACAGTGGAAAAAAGATTCAAGAAAATTGTTCATTATTTAATGAATATTGTGTCTCACCAGCAACATCTTTAGATGTGAGGGCAGCTGAAGATTCTTACAAATGTTTTACTGACTGAGAATCTCTTTTTCTTTGTGGTGCCTGTATAATCCTACAGTTTTTCACCTAATAAAAATGAAAGAAGCAGGTAGTATCTGCAAGTCCAGCTATTACTTGAAATGTGCAGTGTACCTGTACTTAATGGAAGCTTCTGCTACATTTCCTCTTCCAAAAACATAAAGTTTATGTTCTCATGCAAAATTGTCCTTCCTTTATAATAGCTCTTCTCCCCCCCCCCCCCCCCCCCCCCCAAAAAATCATAAAAGGAGGTACGTTTTTATTTAAGGCTGAGTGAAAGAGATAGATTACATTGTTAGCTTCACAGCAATTCAGAAGGTAAAGGGGACTTCAAGGGCTTCATGCAGCGTGTAAGACACCCTCTTAATGCAGGACGAGTTTTGTCAAGTATAAGCAGAATGATAATACTGGCAATAGCTAGGTTTTTCTTTTACTTCTCATAGAAGCATGTGTGCTTCTTAGTTGGTCTATGTGTGCCATGGGACACACTGTGTTGAACTTTTTTTTTATTTCAGAATCGACATATGCAGAAATATTCACAGCACTGCTGAGCAGTTATGAGATGATAGGACTGCCTGGATTTGCAGGTGTCTGTTGCTATAAAGTGTAAGAAGACAGGTAAGAAAAGGATGAAGAGGCCTCTGGGTCCAACCCCTTGGCTGATTACTGGAAACTTGCTGCAACTTGGAGAAGATCCTCATATAATATTAATAAAATCAAGAGAGAAATATGGAGATATGTTTCAAACAAACGTGGGATCCATGCCAGAGGTAGTTCTGCGTGGCTTTGACACATTTAAGAAGGCTTTAGAAATACAAGGAGAAAGCTCTATTGGCAGATCAGAGCTTTATAGTTTTTCTTTGACTGAAAATGAGGGATGCATGACTTTCAATAAGAAATATAGAGAAGGATGGAATGTCCACAAGGAGATTGCAAAAAATGCCCTGAGAAAGCTGTCATTGAAAGCAGACAAAAACCTCACATGCTTTTGTCTGCTACAAGAACAGATACACTTAGAAGTTTCAGAGGTTGTGAGAGCTTTTAGGGACCTCTCAGACACAGCGGGTAGCTTTGGTCGTGCTAGCTTCCTCACCAGATGTTTAGCAAGTGTCATCTGTAACCTGTGCTTTGGAAAAAGGTACAACCAAAATGACAGGGAGTTCCTCACAGTTCTTCGTTAACCATAACATCATGCAGATCTTCAGCTGTAGCAATGCTGCAGACCTTTTCCCTGCTTTTCATCATCTTCCTGACAATGAACTGAGATGTGTCTTCACTTGTGTTCAAAACAAGGAAAGGTTTCATGAATAAAAATATTCAGAAACACTATATCTCCTATGATCAGGTGAGAAGGTTTGTTGTTCTTAATCCTTCAAGGGCCCCTTGATTTCAAGTAACAAAAATTACAATTTCTCACTTTTTTGGTCCTTCAATTTATCAAGGAGTTATAGGGTTAGGGTACTGAGAAATTTATCATCTCCTATTTAAAGTGCTTTTTTTATATCTCCTTCCTATGTTAAATTCTGAAGAATAAACAAATAATCCACATATTGCTTTGTAGAACTGCATTTGAGATATTACTGATACTCTGACTGCACTATGTGAATGACAAAAAAGTCAAAGTGGTGAAGCTATGTTGACAAATAAGCAGATTGTTTCCACTGTCAGTGACACATTTGGGGCAGGTATGGTTATATTTCAGAAAGGTATGGTTTTCCTTACTACTTTGTGAGTTATTGGGGTCTTCAATTTCTTCCCCTATTCTTCCTGCTCTCATTATTAGAAAGCACGAGAAAGCATAGTGGGAGCACTTTAATGTTTTAGCATCTTCCAGTATCCTTAAATAGAGAATAAATGTCAAACAGAAAAAGGACAAGAAGTTGTGATAATATATCCTAACAAGAACTATTCTTCTACAGCTAGCAGTGATGACAATTAATTCTTTTAAATACTTCCTTACCTTTAAAAATAAGTCAAAAGTAATTTTAAGTATTTAGGTGAAAAAGGCAGAAAAAACAGCAAATGTGTTGAGGGAATAGCAATCTTGGGACTATGGAGAGATCATAAACAGAAAAAGGTTTCAAGTGATGAAAAGCTGTCCTTCTAAGGACATTGATATTTTTATTGTCAACGTTTAAAAGTCTGCTTAATCAGCAACTTTCTTTTCCAAAACCCGAATATCTTCTAATTTCATCTTTTTGTAAGGCTGTGTAATTGCTGAAGTATCTCCAAAGCTGCAAGTGTGTACCTTTTCAACATATGGAATCCATCTTTTCTCTTATTAAGAAAGCAATATTCACCTTAAGAAAATTCAGAGGAATATACAATATTAAATATAAAATTCTCCCTTATTTGTCCACTAGTTTGTGCAACATGCAGTATAATAGCCACAGCAGCAAAAATTAACGTTTTATCTGCAGGCTGGAAGAAGCATGTAGTTCTGAATATTTGGGTCTCATTATACAGCTCAGAAAAGATGTTTAGATTTGGGCTAAACAGAGCTTTATTAACCCTGCTGACACAAAACAAGGTAACAGTAACACAGATTCTGTTCCTGGAGTCTGTAGACATTTTCCTGCAAAGTAGTGCTTACTAATTTCAGAAAGCTCAAATTTTCAGTATTACTGTGCAAAGAGAGAAAGCAAAAGGCACACTGGGCAATAGGGGATATCTGGAACCATAGAGAGATGTATGGTCCTGAGCTAGAGGAAATAACACTACAGAACAAAAGAATATGTTTCATAAAAAATGGATCTGGATTATTTTTTAACTTAAATTACCCCACATTAATTTAGCTCTTGTTTTAGATCTCAGCAGGTACAAATTTTATGAAAGTATACATTAGGATCCAAAACCAATCCTTTCTTGAAGTTCAAAGTCTATAGGGTCACTATTCGGTCTGGACCCATTTATGCACAGAATGTGGGCAAGAAGCCCTGTATAGTATACAACGCATGGAATGCACTAACCCACTTACAGTCCTACTAATGACATATGCTTGTAGCTCCCACTCACAGCAATGAGAATTTCAGCTTAATTTTAGAACAGAACACATGCAATCTGAAAATCACACATAAATGGAATTCTTTTGAAAAGCTGACAGAAGGGTTGATTGGGTCCCTGCATCCCTATTACCCTGTTAGATCTCAAAACTCCTGAGTTTACTATCCAATAACTGTCATATTCAGTCAAAATTAAATATATTCTAGAAGACGTTAATTCACTGTTTGGTTGACATGGGGAAAGGGAAAGATTCAAGCACCACTTAGGAGGTCTGGATCCTTCTTACGTTGTTATCAATGGCATAATTCCCATCTATACTAATGAGAGTGCAGTTGCTCATGCTAATGGTTGTTTCTGTGAGATTTTTCTCTTACTTTGCAGCTCAAGAAAGTTCAGGGAGGGCAGAGGGGATTGTGAATTTCCATTACCTTAACATTAAAGATTTAATCCAACACTATTCTGCATCTGATTTTAACCTATCTCCATTTAAAAGAGAATTATCTTCAATGGAAATTGTGAATTTAAAGACTTATAATCTGTTGTGTGATTCAGTTTTTGAAAGAGATGATAAAGTAGAAGACAATTAAATTATGGCAATCCATACAAAATGCCTGGCAAAATTTGCCATGAAAATGGACTGCAGTGTTACTGTATTTTATTATTCCAACTGCTTTTTTAAAGATTGTGTGTAGTTTGACTCTTTAGTAAGTTAGTAATATTATGTGTCATGGTATCGGTATCTTAGGATGTAAAGAAATGGTGAAATAAAAATGTTGAGCCCATTTTAGTGCTAATTAATGGAAACTGCAGAAGTCTATTGTAATAGCAGTATAGTTCATTCCTGAACATCTGATACGAGCTTTGTTTTAATCTTTTCTTGAATTTTCAATATATTTTTCATTACTAATTCGTGAAATTATGATTACAAAATGTAAAGAAGATATTACAGTTCCTTTTAGTGTTATACAGAAAGATAAATTTAATAAATTTAGTTACTATAGTCTTGCCATCATATTTTTTAAAATATCAGCTGCCAGTTTTTCATATAATATAAATGTCTATTTTTAAACAAAAGAAAAACTCTTGCAATCGCAATCCTCTAAGATCAAGTATGATTTTACATCACAAGGAATATTAAAAATAGCGTCTTCATTAATTTATATTATCATAAATCAAACATAATTACTTTCAATTGGTCTCTCTGTACTATAAAATATGTTTAAAAAATAAACTTCCCTCAACATATATCCTATTGCACTGTTTCTATGTACTACATTATTACAGCCATTAAAATGACATTTTAAAGCAAAAAAACCCCACTTGAAACTATTGTTTAAGAACTAATTCCATAACTTGTTTTCATAGAGATAGTTTGTTGTCTTTCACTGAAAGATGATGTTTAATGCCATTTTGATTAATCATCAAAATCATAAATATGCTTATATGCAGTGTGTCATATAAAGTGCTTATATGAGTTCTTCTCTTTCTGCAAAATTATGAATTCAGCCAAATTATTTGCATGTAAGACATACAAACAGGGTTTGCATGCAAGTAATTTCTTAATTTTCCTTTTGACTTTATTGAAATGCTACCAACTGCTCAACTGTGTTGTTAATCATTAGAATTGCAAGTGTAATTTTAATGCAGGTGCAATATAGGAATCCATATCAAAGCCCCACTGTACGAGGTACTTTTCAGATACCTAGAATACTGTATCCCCTATCAAGACTGTGTTTTCAATCTAAAAAGCTACCTACAGGTTAAATAGCAAAGTTACTTATTTTATTTTTATTGACAAATTCAAATTTGGAGTAGTAAAGTTAGAACATAAAGTAGTTTAAAAGGAGAAATTTCTCCTCTTCCTCTCTCTTCCTCTCTCTTCCTCTTCCTCCTCCTCGTCCTCGTCCTCATCCTCTTCCTCCATATTTGCATTGCACAGCTAATATAAAAGTCTATAAAATTTTAAATATTTTTATTTTTCCATACATGTGTTGGTCCTTGTTTACACTTATGAAACTGATTTCTGTCTTGTTAGGCCAAAGGCAAGCACTATAGAAATAAAATCTTTTTTACAGAAAAATTCTAATGACACATCTAAGGTAATATATAATGCTTAATTTTATAGGTTTTAATACAACTACAACTGGAATACTCTGGTGTTTAATCTAATTTTCTTTCCCAAAGCCCAGAAAACTATACAGCAGGAAATTGGTAAATGGGCTGAAAATTTGCCTATATAAAAATGTTTTACACACAGATGACATATTATCTGTTTAACTTGAGAACTTCACTTGGATCTAAGATTCAAATATAGAGCAAAACAGTCCTTCTGAAGCATGCACCTCATTTTTCTTACAGTCAATGGAGAAAAGTTGGCAGTTTTAAAAGACTCCAGAGGGAGAGAGAGTCCACCTAATTGAGCTTTTGTGTCTGTGTGGATCCCACCTACAGTTACAAAAATCTGATTCCCTTTTTTTTTTTTGTATTCATTATCTAGGTAGATATAAAGAGAATAGTCAACATGAATAAGGGAGTTAGGCTATGGTCCAGTATTCCAGCTGGTCCAGAATAAAGAATCCAATCCATTCCCACACCCATCTGCAATTCCCTTCTCTTCTGGCCACAGACAAATTGGAATTGTAAAGTGGAATGTATGTTTAGTCTTATTTTTGTATAGTTTAAATGAAACTGTACATTTTAAAACTGGACACTTAGTGTCAAAGGTAGAAACCATCACAGTACAGACTTTGTAGGCAAAGAAACATTCGGATTTTTGTGGTGTTCTTTCATTTTTCATATACTCTGAATTTTAGACAGGGAAAGATTACATTTCTTAAGGCAGCTTCTGTGCTGCAATTCTGCACTAGTTGTGCCAGATGTTTTCTAGCTGTAGTGCATACGTTGTATGAACACTTTTATGTCTCTTTCAGCAGCATTAATCTTTACTTCTGCACATCCAGATGAAAACATCGGGCGGAGGCAGCTACTCAGATTTGAAGACAGGTCTTCAATGCCTTACAGGGAAACTTCCATTTATGAAGTGCTTGGGTGTTCATCATATGTGACTTTCACCGTTCTTCATTCATAAGTGATTATCCAAAGTTTTCAAATCTTAATGTAAAGAAAATGGGAATTCTTGAAGATATAGCACATACAGACTTAGTAAGGGCATGTGTTTAGAAGCTGAAGACTTAGGTTTTTCTACATTCCTGGTTATGAGACTAATTTCAGTAGTGCAGGACTCTGATCACTCATTTTTTCTTGTGCCTGTATCCTACATATTTCCTTTAGTTGCAACTATGCTTTATAAAGTAGATTTTTATATTATTTAAGGAGGCACAATAATAATAGTCTATATTCCAAATGAACTTAAGGAAAAGAAAATCACTCTTGAGTTATCATTTGTCTCTTTGTAAGCAAACTACACTGTGCAATTTGACATACCAGTTACTTTAGTATTCTGAAAATGCTCAAGCATGAAGAGGAAGAGAAGAAATAAAAAAATGAGCTCTATTTCATCAGTCACCATGGATGTAAGCTGGATTTCACTGCATGTTGTATTTTGTCATTATAGGCTGTATTGAATAATCAGAACTTCTGCTTTTCCATTGTAGTGGTACTGTTCATCTTCTTAGTCAAAAGTGAACAAATAATAGCTCTACTACTGTAGGCATATATTCTATGAATATAATTTGCAATTAATCTAAAACAAAATCATAGTGATATACCCTTAAGAATTATAAGACCGGCAAATCATGTCCAGTTGGCACTCCTCCTCAAAATCTCAGTATCAGATATGCCACAGTTATTTTTGCCTACCTGCCTCTGCTGGTGTATATGGAAGCTTTCCTATGTTAAAAGAATGAAACTAGCGAAATTTCACTTTCTGCTTCTTCGGAAAAAAATTTCTATTAAGATAAAAGCAAGTGCTTCATCACCTAGATTCACCCATCATTCACAGCTCCTATTTTAGTTATGAAGCCTGGATTT